ACTGCCAGGTGATTGAAAAGTAAGTTGTATGCTGCTGAAAATGCCCTTAACGTATCATCCCTCCCCAGACAATGGAGTCAGCATTTCTCATTACCTGTACTTTGTTCACACAGGTCTGCCTTACTGACCCCCACTGACCTTGCACGTCACTCTTCCCAATTCCCAGAAAGCCTTGGGCATTTGCCTGCTCTGTAATCTTCAGCCACCACAGCTTGGGACATGTTCCTTCCTTGTAGAATAAAATCCCTATTGTTTAGTCCTTGTCCTGTCCTCATTTGTTGCCCTCTTCTTTACTGTTGTCCATACCATAGCTGCCCATTTGAATAACTCCTAGGGGAGATGATCTGTTGGTACCACTCTAGTAGGTCTTCCTCTATGGAGAGACTTTAGGTTGTCCCCCTCGGAGACACTTCCTGTGATGTACTGTCAATAGATGATGCTCTCTAAAGACTGCCATTAGGCTCTGAACACACGGGATACATGTCTGGGGCAAGGCAATACTTGAAGTATGACTGAAAATACCAGTGATGTTAAGTGATGTTTAGGCTGCCTTATGTTCCATACAAGGAGTAATCCTGTTTACACTGTAAGGAGTGGGAGTTTGTTTGGCCTTAAAATAGCCTCAATGCATTTAGGAAATCCGTAAAAAGGATCCCTCTGTATTTCTTAGGACATTATTTTCATCAGATCTTGTTACTTAATTTGCCACCAACATCTGTCAGTTCCTCTGCTGGGTATTGCCCAGCAGCACCTGGGTCTGAACCGAAAGCTGACAAGACCCAAAGCAAAAAATTTAGTGCTGCTTTCCTTTAAAGGAAAACAAGGAAATACATCTGCTCATAAATGTTACAAAATATTTGTTTTAGATTAGCTGCTATGTCTGCCATTGCCCATGTTTGCAGTTGTACTCTTCCACCCAGCTTGAAGGCAATAGGAGGGCCTGCTGAAATTGCAGGGCTGTCAGGAACAAATAGCTTGAGAAGCTGAGTATGAGAGATGAAGCAGAGCTAAAATTAGAATCTCAGATAAGTAAATATCTGTATCTTCAGTGCTCTGTGGTTTTATTTTGCTCTATGCAAAGCACACATTGGTTTCACATGGCAGTTTCCAAATTGTACCAACTCAAAGAAGGCTTGTGGGGAAAAAAAAAGGCTTTGATGTCTTCAGTAAACGAATAGAGGTGTTAAGAGCTTCAGTTCTTGTTAGCATGCTGCAAACAGCTATGTTTGAAGAAAAATAAACATCCCAAGGTTGATGGAAGGGTAGGAAAGCCATAAAGTGCTGTAGTGAAATCCTTGGTATGAAGACATCAAAAATGACAGCGCCACAAACAAAAGTTTTCTCTTTCCTTTTGCATTAAAAAAAAAAAAGGTTCATGATTTACCAGCCATGAAGTGGGAATAACATTGGTGTAAAATCTAGGACTAAATCATTACCATCCAAATTACAAGAATATTATCAAGTCCACTGGAAAGCCAAAGGAAGGATTTCCCTGGAGATCTTCCCCTCTGACCATTCTGGTGAGAGTAGAAGACTCACTCTTCCTTCAGCCTCTATTTTGACTCAGCTTCTGCAGTTCTTCACCTGATACCACTGGGCCACCAGCACCTCTTAACCCTTGTAGCTACAGGATCTCATCCCTGAAAACCTTGTTGGTTTTTATGTTGTGCTACCACCTGGTTTTCATGAGGAAGCACCAGGTATGCATCATGCTCTCAGTGAGGAGGATTAGGATTACATGGTCCCATGCCTACCTGAGCTTTTACCCTGTAAAGCTGTTGTACTTGTCTCATTGCATCACTTACAACATCCCTTCAGAAATGCAAAAGATGAGGAAATGAACAAAAGTGAAGAGCTAAGCAATGATCTCTGTTACACCATCATAACCTTGGGGATGTTAATTTACAATTATACCCTGTCAGCAATCCAAATTAAGTTCAGAATGAGAAAGTTTGGAGTTTTCCCTGTAAAGTGAAATTAAAAATTCTCAGGTCATGCTAATAATCAACACACACCAATATTTACAGCAAATTTAAATCTTACCAAAAGCCTCCAGGAAGCCTTTCACTTTAGTTTCATGTAGTTCCAAGCATTTCTCTGAGTTTAAGGAGTTAGGAAATAAATAATTCAGACATAGTTGACTTTTTAAAGTCTCTGTAGCCTCACTATCATCTTTCTTCTGATAATGCTTTTGTTCTGCCTACCAAAGCTCCATTTCAAACGGCACGGGTGAGGCAAACACTCCATCTGAAGAACTAGGGCTTACAAGAAATAGCAGGGAAAAAGGTAAAACTTCCAGGAAAAAAAAGTGTTATAATCCCAAAGGCAGTAAGTATTCCTTTGGTAACATCATGCAGGTTCTTCATTTTCATTGTGAGCTTCTCCCTCCTGGATTCACAGCAAGGCTTTTTAGCTAAAGCTGAGGCAGAGACTGTTCATAGATAGGTCCTTAGAGACTGTAGACATGCATGTGAGAGCTGTTTACCTGGCACAATGAAGCACTATTCTGTTTATCTTCAGATGTTCCTACAGAAACAGAAGGTATTACAGTGTGGTAAATAAGGCCCCTTCACCCTCAGGAATATGTTTGGGTGGGGTTTTTTTCCAGACTAGTTACCCTTTACTTTCAGCTGCAGAAAGCCCATCTTGTGATTTCTGAATTACTCCTTCATGCTCCCTCCCAAGAGGACAGACTGCTTCCCAGTGCAGAGAGAGACAGAAACTTGCTGACAGCAACTGGGGTTGTTGTTTCCAGTGCTGACCTGCCCATCACAGTATAATGATACCAGACCCCTGGCTGCCAGCAGCTTCTGCAATACATGTATGTGTTCTCCAGAACAGGACCACCTTCTTCCTGGGGAGATTTATTGTTGATGTACTGTGGTTGTAACAAAGAAATTTACAGGGAATAAGCTCTAGCTTGCAACTTGAAACCAAGACAATGGCACAGCTAATGCTGTTGGTGTCTTTGCTCGAAATGGGAAAGGGCAGCTTTGAGAGGCACTTTGGAGGCTGCAGGTCACTCCTAGGATCTGTTCCTGGGCATCGCAGGGGAAAAGCCCTTGATTTCAAAGGGATTAGGGCTGGGTGCCTCCCACTGTTCATCAGACTGGAGCCCTGTTTCTCCCTACCTGCCACAGCAAATATTTTGATTGCAAGAGCCAAAGCAATCGTGTTGTGTACTTTACAGAATGCAATCCCCGAGGCACACTGCTGATAACCGTCAAACTCATTTCAGACCTGTGGCCCCCCGCCCTGCTGGAGTGCTGCCACCAGCCAGGCTGGCATTGGGTACCGCCACGTGCCCCACTGCACATCCCCATCCTCCTAAAGGACACTTGAAAGGGACGGTCACCCTTTGGGGTAAACCAGCCTGCACAGTGGTGGCTCCTTGGGCTGCTGTGATAACAACATCCCTTCTGCACAGCTGGGGAAAGCAAAGGGACGAATTTAACAGGTGGTAATTTACCATTAAACTTACACCTCTGAAGATCCCTTAGTACCCAGTTGACCCCATCAGGTGGGATTTAGCACTGAACTGATTTATGGCATAACACAGCAGGCTGCGTGGAGTGTGTTTATCCAAATATCTTCATCGCTCTTTACCAAACACCATTCAACTTCTACTTAAATTAAAACACAATTGCAATTTTCTTAAATATGTCCAATCTTCAATGAAATTACTAATAATATCAGTTCAGCGTGCAAGTCAGTAAAGTGACGTGGAAAATTACACGTTCTTGACTCAGGAATGTAACTCGCAGGATGACTTCATGCTCCTGAATGAGAAGATCAGCATGCCAGATGCGCCTAGTGCCTGACCCCTTTAAAGGCTCTGAAACATCACACGTAACTTTAAAACGTCATTTTATGCATGGAGAAGAGCGAAAGCCTGATAGTTTTATGTTACTTAGCTTTCTATTTAATTTGGTTAGGGCATTGTGAATGTCTTAATAACATGAAGCAGAATTCTGATCTCTGGTCTGGCTGCATGTTTGAAATACCCTAATGTCTTGCTCGTGGCTGGAGTGCTTAACATCTGTATTTTCTTCCTATTAATAAGAAATTGCATTTCATTTTCCAATGAAGAGCGAGCTTCACAGTGTAGCTGACAACTTTGCAGTCCACACTTTCAGTCATGCATTGAATTTTACTGAATTGTTTTGTATGGAGCCAAAACCAACATATGTGAGCATAGAATTAATACCTTTTTAAAACTAGTTGTATTTTTAAGTCACAAAAATCTCACTCCTGACGCATTGCCCCTGCTATAGATTTGAACACCCTTTCTTTTTCCTTGCGTAAGTGCTCACTCCAAAATCCTGCTGAAAAGTATTCAGAGTGTGATCCAGGTCTCTGTCTTTAATAAGCGTGTCCCCATAGCAAATTGTACAACAGCATTTTGTACAGTTGTATTTTTCCTCTCCCCCAGTGCATTCCACACACCTACACAGTCATGCTAATTAGATCATGTAATAAACTTAAATGCGGCAAAAATCTGTTCACAGGGTGTTGCAAGACAGAGCTAGATTTGGAAAGCAGCCATTCATGAATTTTGTTTTGTTTGAGAAAAGCCAGAGGATGTTATTTTGCTGAAGATGAAGCAAACTCCATGTAATAGGAGCTGTAATCTAAGGAGACAAATTATTTTATTAAAGTAAGGCTCAGCGAGCCCTGATATAAAGGCTTGCTTATGTGAAAAAAACTGCTAGAGTTTAATGAAGCCACTAAAAATAATTAAACCTAAACTAAGGTTAAGTTGATTAGTTTCACTAAATTTAGCTAATCAAAACTAAACTAGTTTCCGTAGTAATCAGTAACTACAAAAGAGCTAAATAGCAAGGAACTTAACTTTGAGCACCAGGTGTCTTTTTAAACTGTCTACAATGGGATATGGTGATAGATTCAAAATGTACCCCAACCATTTTTTCTATAGATTATCTTAAACTCATCATAATGCACCCTGCAAATACCTCTGAAATACCACTTAGCGCTGCAGCCTTACACTCGCATGCTCATTTCTAGGGAAAGGAGTAATTTTGGGCGCTCTACCAATTTGACAGCAGTGTTTAATTTGTCCTGGGTTTTACAACACAGTTGGTAACACGATCAGCTGTCAGGTAGGAACTGCTTTCTTAATTTCAGTTCAGATGCTAAAAGTTTTGGCCACCGTTGCACTGAATTGCATTTGAACCTGTAGATCTATTAAGTCAGCTCTTAAATACAACCACAATAATTTTCATAATGAACTAGACAGACTGAGAGCATTACTAGATGACTCCTGCAAAGCTAACGAAGAGCATGAAGAACTGACAGGTGATGAAACACATGGGAGAAGACGCTGAGGTTGTGGCTGGCTGGTGGGGTGCTGGTCCAGGAAAAACCTGTCTGCAGATTTCATCAAACTGCCATTAATGAAGTACGATGATAACTTTCAGCTATATCCTTGATCAACACTAGATGTTGCTATGCTGCTACTCATATAAGCTATACATTAGTAAGGCTTTTAAATGGTATTTACTGCAATTTCCTCTTTCCTGTTTCCGTTCTACACTATATTCTGAGTGCTGGGTGACCTGCTAGTTTAATTTACTTTATTAATATCAAGTTTATAAGCCCCTCAAATGTACATGTAAAACTCTACAAGCAGCAGAGCCTCTTGCAAGTGATAACATGAAGCAACTCCTATATGAATGTCAAATATTTACTTAAACTCTGCTTCTGAATTTTTTGCAATCCAAGGGGAATGACACTGTTAGCCGGACAATTCCGGGAACAGACTGTCAGCTGCAAGGCCATGGAGGGAAGTTTGTTTATAAGGGGGGGGGGGGGGGAATATATAAAAAATACCAAAAAGTGTTTAGCCCCGCTGGGTTTCAGGCTTTCTACTCCCACGTGTTTGAGTGGGAGAAAGGACAAAATCTTAGGACGTTGATTTCCCCATGGTAACAGAAAACGGAAATTACTTTAACCCCATCTAGTGACAGATGACTCATTGCTCAGCCTGCTGCTATTTTCCAAGCACTGAAACAATACAGCTGCAGAGAAAAGGCCAGCCTTTATTATCTCATGGGCTGCGCGCTGGGGCTTGTGGGAGAGGGCAATTCTCTGGCTGCCTTTTTATCGACAAAAGACAGAGCTGGAGCCGTTTGGTGATTCTTTTATTGTAGAAGGCAAATGTGCCTGTGTGCTTCCTGTCCCTGTACCACTGGAGGGCAAAACCAGAGTGTTCCCAGGGTGGTCATGCAGTGCCCATGGGGTGAGCTGATGCTGGTGGGTGGCCTACTGCCTGGTCCTGTTCGCCCTGCATCCAGTGATCTCATAAGGCACTTCCATGCTTCCAGTTTAAACACCGTCCACACCCCCGGAATTATATGCAGGGAACTGTGCATGCAGTAGAGTCATGATTTGTTCACAAATGCAACCCAGTGAGGGGAAAGCAGGTATGAGCAGGTCCCTATGCATGAAAAAGTAGTTGTAACAGGATCTCACAGGAAAGGCTGGTACAGGAATATTCAGCTTTGAAAGCTGAATTATTGTAGGTGAAAGGATTAGGGAGAGTGGTTTCTGAGTGAGGATGGTGGAACCATTATCACTTGGGGTCCTTAAACCCAGAGCAGGTGTTGCTGTAAAAAAAGCTTCAGTCCAGCTTGCAGGATGAAGAGGCAGGCTATGTGCTCAGGAGGTCAGCCTTAACTCTGTATCTGTCTTCTTGCACCTTAGACCTCTTGCAGCAGAGCTGCACAGAGCTACCAGCTCATCTGAGGAGCATCTTTGTTGAGCATCTGCAACATCTGGATGACAGCCTTTGCTCAGCACCTTCTGGACATGGCAGAGAAAGGCTGTTTTGGAGAGGAGCTGGTTCGAGCTCAGAGAGTCAACAGTGGTTCTTCATCTGCCTCTTTCCACCAGCAGCTCAGGGCAGGAGGTACCCTCTCTATAAATGTCGGTTTTCCTAAATCCTGCTAAGTATTCAGAAAGGCTCAGAAGTAAGGTTAGTAAGGTTTCCTGAGCCTCAGATGCACTTTAAGCATAAAATATTACACTACTGAACAGGGAAGGTATTAATGCTACCACTGAGATGATATACTCAATAATTAACTGGTCACCAGAAACTGGGGATAGGCATCAAAATATTGGGAAAATCAGAACCCCAGGAAAACTACGTGGTGGGACGGTGTCATGGGACACATGAAACATTTTCTTTCTGGGAAACACAAGCTGAGCTATTGGTAAAATAACCAAACTCTTCATTCAATCTTGTCATTTGTATGCTGGTCTGATTAATTTTCAGCTTCCTAACAGAAGGAAATCAGATCCATAAATTTCTATATGAGTAGTACAGTTAACCGAAAGAATTACTCAGTTACCAGGTTCTTCTGGAAACCAGGCACTGGGTTTCATTAACAGCACAGTTTACCTTCATGCAGAAATCAATGTACCAATACAAACTAATAGCTTTTCCTGCTGAAACCCAGACTTTGAAGGGTGCTCCAGGCTATGCTGGGCACTGCTATCTATGCCTTGGCTGGGTTTATCTGGTAACATTCTAGACTTGGCTACAGGCATTCCAAAACCATGATTTCAACAGCAACTTAACCAGGATGCTCAGAGCTGTTGCCTCTGCCTTGTCTTGCCCCACTTGGCTGCTGCTTCAACCCAAATTCTTTGTGGCCAGCTCTGATTTCTGGGGTGTTTGGCCAGGAGGTGCTTCTGGGCTACATGTTGGTATCATACTTAGAGTTTCGTTCAGCACTCTCCTATAATACAAAATGTCCCCTCCCTAAAAAGCGAGAGCCCTGTGGACCTGCCGGCTGTGGGGAAGAAGAACCAGAGATCACAAGAGCTTATTCTTGAAAAAGAAAATACGACTGTTGCTGTCTGATAGGTCCAGAGAAAGATGTGGGGATTTGGTTTAAACTCCATCTTTCAGGAATTCATTTATCAGTGTTCTGGTTTAGAAGACCATGAATTATGGCACTAAACATAAAGATTGCTCCTTTCAGAGAAGGAGTAATTGCCAAAATGTCCATGTAGAAAATGAGAACAGGTGATTTAATTTAGGCACAGGTTGTTTGGTTTGGTTTGTGTTTCTTTTTTTTTTTTTTGCTTTAATGTTCTCTCCAATTCTCTATCTAGAAAATGGCTACTTTACCTGGAAACATATTTTGTATTGTGCTGCTTGAGGGAGAAAGGGCTAATTAAATTTGTAAAGTGGAAAGTAATGTTGAAGATGCCTTTGTAAGACACTGATTCTGACTGCTGGTGTCAGCTTTACTGCCAATATGTACAGATGGTAATGAGTGAGCTACCATCAACAATCCTTTTGTCTTAGGGTCCCACTCAGCTCATAAATGTCTTCGCTGGTTATTGTTTGCAGTTATTTAGTGTTCAGTTTGTAAGTGCAATACTCTCATTGATGCTGTGCCCCAAACCAGGAGAGCAGGGTAAGTAACAGCAGTTTCCCATACGGCTCTGTGTGTACAGAGCCCTCTGACCAAGTGCAGAGAGGCTGCAGAGGACATGCTGAAGCAGACACATGTGAACCAATGTCAGTAACCAAACCAAGGCCTCCACAGCTGAGTTGCGTGTATATAAATACAGCTTTCCTGCAAGAGCCAGGGAGCAAAGGGTCTGGGTTTGCACGGCTGGTGGCTGTGCCAGTGTTTGGGCAGGGCAATTAACGGTAATTCATTAGTGGATGGAGTGATTAATGAGATGGAGCAGACTCCAGGACTTTTAGATACTGCATTCAAACTTTCCACAGAACATATTGTACTGAATTTTGCGTAGCCAGAAGACTGCATTTCTTTTTACGAACAAGGATAAATTCTTCAGAATGAGAATATAAACCACTTTCCCAGAACAGTATTTGAAACTTTGGGCAAACTCTTTGTCTGCTCTTTGATTTATCAGCCTGACTTCTGTGCTGCGTTCAGTTCTCCACAGTCATCCTTAGAAACACTTCCTTCACCTCTTTCAGTACACAAGCTCTGTGGTAACATATGTAAACCACAAACAACTGCTGTACACTTTTTGTCAGTAATCCTTAGTTCATACCAACAGGTTCTTTTAGCAGCATCTGCAGATTCTGTTTTACAGCTCTGCAGCATGCATTGCCCCAAAGGCTCATTCCTAGGCAAAAGCAGCAGGCACAGGAGCTATTTGCCACTGCTGGGCAGGTGGAGGTTGGGGTCCAAACTCTCCAACTCTTTTTTGCAAAGCTCCTTTCTTCAACTCTGCAAGAATATTTTCACCCCCCTTCAACCATGAGGAGTTAGCTGTGCCTGGGTCTCTGGCCAGCCAATGCTTTCTTCTCAAGCAGCCTTCATATCTCCCAGTGAATGTCAGGGCTAGTTTCCCTTTGACTGCAAAGTTCAGTAAATACCACTCTTTTCCAACTCTCGTCAAGGCAGAAAGATTTTCCTCCTTGTGTCTAATTCTCCTGAGCAAGTTTGAGTTTTCCAACTGCAGTCTGCTTATTTCCACACAGGGTTGCCTATAAAAAATTCCCTCTTTTAATTTCAACACATTTTCCCTTGCAGTGGAGCAATGGAAACAGTCAGAAGCTGCCAGCTTTTCTGGCTTGCCTTTTGAGGAAGGCTGCGGATTCATGTTTCCTGGGAACTACACTTCCCAGAAGACATCTTATCTTCCCCCAAACCAGGAACCGAGGCTCACTGGCTTTGTCACTTCCTCCTCCCTAAGCTGCAATGAGCAAGAAAGGCAGGAGGTCTCCTGGAGCAAGTGGCTTACAGTGGGCATCCTGGGCAGGAGGGCAACAGGGGACAAGGCAGGTCTGCTCCTACTGTTCCACATCCATCTCAGCACAGTGTCTACTCATTTAGAGCTCTGTGCAGAGTTAGGGGGAGAGCATTGTAAGGTCACTGTCGGAAGGCACTGCTTCCACTTACATAGAATTACAAAATCCCAAACTAAAGTGTAGCGTTTAAAGGGCTGCCAGTGTTAAGGTTTTTAGGGACCATGTGAGAATGGAAGAAATGCCTTTGGTGGCCATGTGTCTCCACTGAAGTAATATTTCAGCATGTCTGTCCTTTGCAGTCCACAAAATCCTCCTCTTTAGCCTCTGATCAGACATGTTTGTGGTACCCACTTGAACAGCCTGCTGTGATGCCACATGCCCTGCTGGCTTCCTTCTCCCAGGGGAACAGTCTTAGGAAAGGTCTTAAAAGCAAAGACTTAATTGCATGGCCCTAAGGAGTCTCCATACCGTTTCATGTGCTGTGACTCAGTACCATACTTGGTCACTTAACAAGCCTGAGTACTCCTAATTAAAACCAGTGCTTGCCCAGACTATCGCTGTGAGTGTTGTCTCAGTCAGTAAAGTCATTAATAGTGGTACCACCCTAAACAAGCCTATTTGCGTGGAGGCTGTAATCTCTTGAAGTGATCTCTGTCTTTTGCAACCTGAAGTCAAAGGTGTTCCTTTTATGAGAGCCTTCTAAAGTTTGCCGGTAAAGTCATCAAAAGGCTCGTGACTGTGTCTGAAGTCACGAGGAGCCTCCCAAAAATCAGATAGCAAGTACATCAGCAGCAGATTAAAAGGTCCGAGGCTTGCATTTGCGATCTAGAAACGTTAGGCTCAGTTTCCAGTAAGCCAAAGGAGCTGGGCAATGAGCAGCATCATGTCTTCAGGGCTTTAAAAACATAGTGGGACTTGGAGTGCAAACGTGAAAAGTCAGACTGGTGTTTCAAGAATAACATGCTTTTCCCCATCTAAGGCAGGTAGGAGGACTTTGCTTCTTGCTGATAGCAATAGTTCGTGGAAATAGATACTGGCCTTCAAAGTACTCACACGAATATAAATACTGACCTAAACACAATAAAACTTACCCTTGCCTGTGTTTTTCCCCCACTGGAATGTACTCTGTTTCTGGAGGGTTTTCACTCAGATTTCTCCCAGGGAATCTCAGCATCCCTTGTCATTGCTAAATGAAGCTTCAGGAGAGCTTCGCTGTGCAGGTTTAGCCTCACAAAAGTTGCTGTGTCAGGAACTAGAAGATGGAAAAGCGATTCAGAGTAAAAATGAAACAATCTTTCAAAAACCTGGAATCGAGCGCTTCTGAGGAGTTTATAAGAAATATACCTATTTGCCAACAGCAGATCTGTGACAGGTATCGCACCCCCACCACTGACGACATTTCCCTGCCCCTCGTGGAAGGAAAATAACAAAGTGCTATTGCTGCAGAAAGTAATCTGATAGTGCTTGTTTCTAATTGCTGCTGGCAGGGAAAGCTCATTGTGCTTCAATTTCGATGAAGCAAGTTTTAATTGCTGAAGTTCAGCCACTGGTGCCACCCAAACCTTCTCTACCCCTTCCCTGAAAGGCTGTAATTTCAGTGAACATAGTATGCAATGATGAATATTTATAATAAATAATAAGGCAACTGGCTATAAGTAGCCATGCATCATGGCATGTGATGGCTGGGTGAGAGGCACCCAAGAAAATGCAGGTAAGTGGCGGAACCACCACCTGAAGGGGCCATGCAATTGCTGGCTGTTTGCAAGAAAATCAGTATTTGGGCACCTAAATATGCCACATCTTATTCAGCAATCATGGGGAACAAGTGTGCTCCCTCCCCAGTTTGTTCTTAGAAAGCCCCCCCAGACCAGCCGTGTCCCCTGTGGGACCAGGATGCTGTGTGCACGTGGGTTCCCTGGGGCCACAGTGGCACCAGAAGCAGCAGAAGAAAAGCAGAACTACCCTGTGAAGATGTTGTAGCACATTTAAAATACCCAAGTGGTTTCATACCGGATGAGCACAATGTATCAGGGGTCAGGCACTTTGAGCTAGAACTTGCAATCCTGAAGCACCTTAGCCTCTGTTGCCACTATGCAGTCCCTTACTTCTCTACCTCTATTCACCCACTTTTTAGAGTAGTATAATACCCTTGAAGCATAAATCTGTTAAAGAGGAGAGAGGCTGGCTAGAGCACTGGTTTTGCCTGGTTCTCTGAAAACTGCAGGGGATTTTTTCTTTCCATTTAATATGGTTAGATGCAGGAGTATGATATGATTTTTTTTGCCACTGCTCTGAGCTAAAAAGGCACTTCTTCCTACCTTTAAAACAATGAAAATTGAACTGTTTTTTTTTTTTTGTGGTTTGTTTTGGTTGTTTTTTTTTTTTTTTTGGGGGGGGGTGGTGGTGTTTGGTATTTTTGTTTTTTTTTTTTAAGGGGAAAAAAAGAGAAAAGCCATGAACTGCTTGCTTTTTGGTCCTACAGTGTGATGTTGGGAAGAGGAAGCACTTCAGAGCTGGAGCCGTGATGGGTGATACTGTACTGCTGCTGGTGTATCTTCACTTGCTTATCTCTTAACTTCACCCATCATGTGGGTTAACTGCCTCGCAGAGCAGTGGTCCTACAGTCCTCTCTGCAGGCTTCAGAAGGGTTCCAGAAATAGCTGAATCCATGGCATGGTGCTGGGATTTCATGCTGCTGGCTGTGTCCCATGGATTAACACCCAAGCATGGCACGTCACATAATTTCTGGGGACTTTGCAGTGCATTTAGTTCAGACCCAGGTAAGTTCTGGCTGGCCGGAATGGGAGTTTGCTGAGGCTGGCTCAGTAGGGTACTTGTTGGCATGAGGTGTGATTTCAGGAATTCTACTAACAGCAGGAGAAAGTGATGCGAAATTTTCCTCTCCCTCGTTGGCTTAACTCCATTCCTGAATCCAAAGTGTGTTTTGATTTAAATGCAGAAGGAATGGCTCTGCCAGAACATAAGGGTCTTTGGATCTGGGATGGGCAGTTTGCTCACAGCAGCCCTCAGTTACTTAAGTCAATACTAAATACAGATGTGCAGCTCTGAATCATGCTCAGCTGCCACCTTCACTCGCGTAACCAGCCTGGAGATGTTTGGTTACAGGGGGAACCCAAAGATTTGGAAACAGGTGTCTTCCAAAACAGCTTTTCAGTTAAATGTTAATGCAAATTCCAAGTAGATACTGGTTGTTTGCATAAGGACCTGCCTGGAGACTTGGCAGGAATGATGATGTGGCCCCAAATAAATGCCAGCCCTTCTTGTATGACAACAGAAACCTCCAGTGTCCCCAGATGAAAACTGGGGGCTGTGACTGTGGAGCAGATGCCATCCAAACATCTCGCATTCATGTCATTCATCTACCAGAAAACTCACAGCAATGACCTTCCTTTGCCTAGTCTGAGATAACTGGGTATCCGGGTATCCATTAGGGAGTGACAGAAAGTTAAGAAACAAAGAAACCTGAAAACTAAAGAAAGTAAATACTGAGTGGCCCATCTCTGGGTATGCATTGCAGGCTGCTGGATGTGATACTTACAATTAAATTGCTGAAGAACTGGTTCTGGTTCACCTTTACGTTCCCTCAGTAAGTGTGACAAAGGGTAAAACAGGGTAATGTGGCACTCCATGGACACTTTCATTTAAAGGTTTAATAATGACTGACACCTCTAAGTCTGCATGTCACTGGTTGCTGTTTGTTAGTGCTCTTTATGTGTTTGTTAATTATTTTCAGAAATCTATAGTGGAACACTGATTGAGGGAGTACAAAACCCGGATGAAATGCAGAAATATTCACTGCTTTTCCTTTAACATTTGTCTCATTGAAAGAGGACCTGATGGATTAGTTAGGTAAATGGGCGTTGCAGTACACATACGTAAATACCGTGCTGCTCAGCAGAGTGATCCCAAACCTCAGATAAACACTTGTGTCCAGTTACTTCCTTCAAAAAGTCTTCCATGTGACAACGACTCATCCTATGTTGTACACTTGGGTATCTTTGCTGAGTATGCTGTGATTTGTAATACTTTGGTCTTCCCAGGTTTATGGACGGAATTAAAAGTGAGAATATACCCTCAGCAGTGCTCTTTTGCGGTCTGTGCAGCTCTTGTTTTGGTGAGTATAAATAAAATGATTGCATAGCCTCTGCTGGGTTCTGTATATAAGGTTTTGTGTTTCCTCAGTTCTTACGGGTTTTGGTTTCTTTCACTTGTTCTTCCTCTTTTAGTTTTGATCCTATGGCAGACTAGGGTTTTACATGTTTTACTGTGCAAAATGACTGGGATTCAGGATAAAAAAAAGAAAGACGAATAGCGAATTATGCTACTGGTTTCAGTGGAGGGCTTGAGCAAACTGAGAGCAGAGTACTGAGGACCTGGGACTGATGGCAGCTTTCAGTTTAGTCTAAACTCTGCAAAGGCAGCACAGAGCATTTTTATTGCCTTTTGCAGTTGTGTTTGTCAAAGAGTGAAATAACTTTTTGGAGACTAGTTCTATGCTTCCTGATGGATTTATGAGGGAAAATAAACTTGTGTGTGTGTCTTCTGTTGGACTGTGGCATCTGCTCCAGCCTGCACTTTCTTACCGTGTGTGTGCACTCCTTTGCTGTGTGGTGTAGTGGGGTGTCTGGTCCTTCTCTGGGGAACTTGCTGGTCACCTCACGCCACTGCATTCAGCTGTACTGGCTGCTGCTCCTTCTGCCTCCCCTGCAGAGCCTGTGGATTTCTCCAGCTCATGGTGTCTCGAAACTTTCATGATTCATTCAACCCCATTTTTTTCCTGTTGCGATCCACCCAAAATCCACGACATGAAAATCCTCTTTCCTCCAGCCACCAGGGAGTTGGTGTGTGCAGCGTCGCACAGCAGGCAGGGCAGTGGCAGCAGAGGACAGAGCCATCTGGCTGTGAAGCTGCATGGCCCCAGCACAGGGACTTCAGAGGAAGCACTCACTACTGAGCACGTTAAGGAGCAAAGTCTGAAAGCTCCGGCTTGGCACTGGCTCCTCTTCTCTGGAGCACTGAACAAACGCCTCTGAGTCATTTTCTGATTTACATGAGTCAGAAGCTGGGGAGACACTAATGCAATAATAATCATGGTAAAACAATGGGTCTCTGTTGCCAGGAAGATGGAAGTGAAGTGGTGTAAGATGTATTAGGTCAGTTTTCTAATGAAGCTGTGAACAGGAAAGGTTTGAAATTTAGAACAGAGCTCAGATAAAAAATAAAACAAGTAAAAGCAGCTGCATTACTAGCTGCTGTGGGAGAAGTGAGTGTCTCAGTAGGACTGTAGGTGGATTCAGAGCACTTAAGATCAGAAGCAGTAACTGCCTTACTTGCCTGACCATCTATGTACCAGATGATGCGGTTCCAGTTTGCCTGGATATTTTTAAGTATGAATGCCAGAATAAACCGTTCTGATCATCTGGTCTGACCTGCAGTGTCAGGCAAGCCACAGGATTTTTAGTTTCCTTGAAGAAGTGTAGCCTTTGGAAGGAAAAAAACCTCCAGTATTGAATAAAGGTTTTTTTAATGATGATGATTCTACTTCATGACAGACTGTTTCACTTGCTGGGTTTGTGTCAAATCCAGCTTTGTCTGGTTCGGATTCTGTCATTCAGGTGACATCCAAGAAAGCAATTTCACTTCACAAGAATAACTTTTCAATAATACAAACAAGGATCTGAGGAACCAAGAACATAGCATATTGATTGCAAATGCTAAAAAAAGCTGGTTCATGTGATAATTAAAAATTAAAGGGATGATCTTATTTTGAGCATTTTAGCAGTGTGAGTGAACAAAGCCAGAGTTTAAATGAAAACACTCAGAACTAATACTACCAGTAGCTACAGGGCCATGTAAGACTGACAGAGCTGGTTTGGATGCAGAGTGTAATTGGAATACACAGAGCTAGCAGCAAGCAAAAATGAGAATATAGAGAGAAATAAACTATTTTTAAAAATGCACCTATAGAGAGATGTGTGTGTTACACAGAGAGATATTTTTTAGTGCCCTCTCCATATGGGATCATAAGCACTTAGAACAGCAATAAAGATAAAATGGTGTTTAACAAAGCTAACAAGGAAAAGGAACTCAGGAGAAACAGCATGGAACATTGTAAAAGAAGCCAACAATGGCTCAGAGGATGAGATTTTTGCATCTACTTAATGAAACAGAGGGGGGAAAGAAAATAAAGTGGGAGGGTTGGAGCAGTGCCGGATCCAGAGACACAAGAGCAATGCAGAGTTGATGCTACGATGAGTAGCAGAAGATATCTCAGCACCACGCAAGAAAAGCAAGTGAGATTTACACTAGATAAAACCAAATTAATATTATGCAATGACTAGCACACTTCCTATCCCCCCCCTTAGAAGCCTACTTTAAAAATAAAACATTAGGAGGAACTTCAACTCAGAAACTGTTGCTTTTGATTTAAACAAGTGAGCATGTGCACCTAGAGATATAAAACCAGGGGAAAATGATTCAGAGAATAGACACATAAGCAGAACATTATTATGTCCAGGACATATTTATCCAGAAGATAAATAACTTATACTGAAATTGGAAAAAGAAGAGTCACTTTAGTTATAGCATGCCTGCCTAGCCCTGCAATGAGTAAAACACTTGTTGCAGAAACATCAACCAGACTCACCTCTGACTGCTGCATCCTCAGCTGGGTTGAGTCATGGGTATAAATGCCCGCAAAGGGCTTGTTTTGGGAGAAGGGTGGTGGTGTTTTCCTGGTTGAAGGGGTGGAGAGGGTTGCAGGAAGTCTGGAGACTTTATTGGAATGAATTCTGGATATGAGCAATCAGGTCAGATGTTGGCGGGAGGAAGGGCTGGCTGAGACCTGGAAGTTGTTTCTGAGGAAGAAACGTGATGACGGCTGGCAAAAGTGGAAGGAGGTTCTGGCTGCATGGTAATGGCGCTGCAAGCTGGGGTGGCCTGTGAATATCTGCTGGGGGAGCGAGGCCAATGGGGCAAGCACGGGCTGTGTGTGGGATGGGAGACACGCTGTGCCCCATGCAGAACTCAGGGATTTAAGTGCAGCCCCAGGAAGGCCTCCCTGATGCCAAGCTGCTAATTACTTTTTGTTTGGGAAGTGCTAAACCAGTCAGGGGACTCGAGCAGCGAGAGTGTGAATTGGTGGCAGCTCTGGGGACCGGGGCTCTGTGGAGGAGCCTTGGTGTGGTATAGCATGAGGGGTGTGGTGGTGAAGAGACATTAGACAAACTTGCAGCGGGCTGTAAGGGTGCACAGGGCTGTTTGCTGCTCTCTCGAGGACAGAAATGTCGCCGTGGGGACAGTCAGCGGTGGTTTCTTTGGCTGAGGAGATGGTGACATGATCCTGTTAAATGTGCAAAATTCTGAGATGCCAGATGGTGGAAAGCACAGCCCTGTCCCCTGGAGACGTGCATCAGGGTAGTGCCATGCACCCGAGGTGGTGGTGGGGCATAGACCCAAACCCAGCAATGCAGGAAGCCTGTGCAAGAGGGGAGATGTCCAAAGCCCTCCATTATCAGGAAGCTAAAGATCTTTCAGGCTTATGCTAAGATGACTTATTTCCTCAAGGAAAATCCTGCATCCCAAAGTAATCTGCAAGAAGGTGCCTTGAGATTTTTTTCTGAAAGAGGTATTGTTCCCCCATGATGACAGCAGCAAAAGGCCCCAATGAGCATCCCACAGCTCAGTAAGCAAGGTACGTCTTATGCGGGCTGAGTCACGGGAGCAGAGAGTTTTGACATTGCTAGAAAAAAACCCAACATAATGGTGCACACCGATGGCTGTCACAGGAAAGACTCACTCCTTTCAGCACCCTGGAGCTGCAAAATACACTTTAGACAAGACAGAGGTCTGTTCACAGGAATTTGAATGACTGTTCTTAGCTATTGACAAGCTCAAGTTGGCAAAACAGGCTCTTCTTTCTTTTCGATAAGCATTCATAGAAGGGTTTTGGTTGGAAGGGACCTTAAAGTTCATGTAGTTCTGATCACCCTGCCATGGGCAGGGACACCTTCCACTGTAACAGGTTGCTCAAAGCCCCATCCAACCTGGCCTTGAACAGTGCCAGGGATGGGGCAGCCACAGCTTCTCTGGGCAACCTGTGCCAGTGCCTCACCACCCTCACAGGGAAGAATGTACTATGATAAAGAGTCAATGGAATATAATAAGTTCTTACCAAAGTAAATTTGTTTAATTTTGTTCCTAGACAACAGTGACAAAGGGATGCTGCGACAAATGTCTTGCAGTGACAGAGTTTGAGTAGGGAGAGGAAATGAAATCCTTTTTCTGAAAGGGGAGAGAAAGTGAGACTTTGTGAATGAAGAACAGATCTGGAAGGTGCTGCTTCTTTTCTCTGTTTATGTTCAAATATCAATGCAGGGAATAACAGTGGAAGCTGTAGAGGGCACTAGGGGTCACCACTACCTTATCTATGTCATCTGGATGTACTTCTGAAGTAAGGTAAACTAGAAACCAAACCCAGGCTAATTTTTTTGGTTGGTTTGGTTGGTTGATTGGGGGGGTTCTGCAGGCCAGACAGCTGGCATTTCATTTCTTTATTTTCTACCCCTGCCTGCCTTCTGTTTGCCTCTCCCTTAAAACAACCCCAGGAAAGCCTATAGAATGCAGCCAGAGGGGATGCTCTAGAAACAGGGAGTTGCATCAAAATTCCCTCTGTGCGGCTCCAATTTATTTAGAGCAAAGGTTAGGCAAATCACAAACACCAAGTAAGTCAGGCAGAATCACATAACAGCCTTGGTATGTTTCTGCAAGTACCGCAGAGCAAACTGATTACTGTAATGAATAGCACCCTTGTAGTCCAGGGAGTAACTCCTGATACACTTTGCTCTGCCTGGCCAACAATCCCGTGTCTGAAGATCTTTCTCACCCCCTACTCTTCCCCCATCCAGATAAGTATCCTTGGCTTCTCATGAAACTGCATCTGATACTTGCATTAGGAGGCGGATTGGGTATCTGGGTTGTGAAGAGAATTGTAAATCCTCTTTTCTGAGTCTTTTTTTGACCTTGTGTCTAGGAAGTAACCATTGGTGTGGGCAGAATCTATTGTCTCAGTGTTGGAATAGTGCATTTTAAGGTGGGATGCAAGGTGTCTAGGGAGAAAAAGAATTTCTTTACCAAGGCAGATAATTTGTCTTGAGACAGACAGGCTTTCAGGCATACAAGACCTATGAGGAGGTTGCACTCCCTGACAGCCTGGTTTTTTACCTATAGTAGTTGATCTTGCAAGATGTGGATTCCCTTTTCTCCACAGATAACGTATGGTAAATTGTGGGGGGTTTTGTTGCATGATATTGCAGAAGTTTAAAAGTTCATGTGAACTCGAAACCTGACTGCATCACTTCTTGAAATAAATAGCTGCCAGTTGTCTTGAAATTGCAAAGACAGCACTTCTGTCTTAGAAAATCCCTTGCTTGCAATACCCTGGAGACAGGGAGAGTCCTGGAGAAGTTTCCTCATAACCATGCCCCACTTGCATACCCTTTCCTGAGCATCAGTTATAGTTCCTTGGGATGACAACCTGGGATCAGACGGCATTTAACTTGGTGTGTCACACGAGAGAATGAAACAACGGATATGTATTCTTTGATCACCACAGTAATGATCAAGCTGCTTGGAGTGTGGTACTGTACAGGCTGTTTCCAGAGAAGTGTGAGGGCAAATCCGGACTTGCAGCCAAACCTATGCCTGGGGCTAGTTGTAAGCATGCGGCTGCCTGTGCCACTCCAGGCTTGGCCATCGGCTGCACATAAGCTCAGTTAGTTCAGTGTCAGCTCAGGTATATGTGGGCTGCAGTCACGCTATCATCCAAAGGTGGGGGAGTTCTCTGGTCCATATTTTAGGATTTTATGTAACATCCAGCTTATATAAGCCTTTGTCTGTTAACAAAATGGGTGGAGCATGTCTTGCTTGGATTCCTCAGTAAAGAAACGTTTGTCACTTACTCAAGTGCTCATTACATACTTCAAGAATGTTTTAGTTAGTTTCTTTCCTGTTGCTAATAATAACATACCAACTTGGCAACCTGTTATGGACAAATGATAAAATGTGTAATTAACTATTTCATTAACTGCATCTTAGAATACATTAAAAACAGCTCTGTTGAGGTAGACAAGAGGAAAATGAGGCATACCCCAAACCCTGGCTCTGGGTTGCATCTTGCTTTCTTCTTGCTCCTGCCCAGCAGGAGACAGTTTAGGAGCGCTGGTAGGGATGGAAGGATGGTTTGGCTTTGCCAGGATTGGTTGGCTTTTAGGACATGCGTGGGTACCATCATTATTACCAAAACCCTTGTCTTCAGCACAGCCAGGGTTGCCCCCAGCATTGTTTCCCAGGCAGAGTGAAAGGGGAGGGGGGCAGCAGCACTGAGCACCCTGTGGGCCAGTGTTCCCATCCCAAAGCCTTTCCAGGTGCGGATTTCAGTTCTCCAGCAGGTAAAGGTGGGTTGTATCTTGCTGTGTGGGAATGGTAATGCGTTAAAAGCTGTCAGGTGCCCAGATCCTGTCGTAGTGAGGAGCATGTGAATTGTTTTCAGATAGACTTGTTGAGCTCACTCAAACCTGGCATTCATGTTACTGTAGGGCTTTAAATAGAAAAGCAGTGTGTGTCTTAGCTTAACACCATAAGGAGATGGTTTGCACTCTCTCCTTCCTCCCGGTACTGTGCTTCATGTACTGACATGCTTGGCATTGCTCTAAGTTTTATGAATTGCTGCAAAAAAAATCCTTTCATTTTTCTCCCCTTTTGTTTTTCTTAAAGCTGTACAGAGCCCTGCAGCAGCGGGCTGCATGGGGCAGCTGCCACACGGTGGCATACAGGTATCTGCACAATGATGTGCCATGACGAAACGGGTGGGAAGGTTTGGGTTTGGGTGTTTCCTGCCAAATAGCAAGTTTTCGAAAAAAGAAATGATGTATTCTTTTATCTCTGAGGCCCATTTCTGTCCCCTGATGCTCTTAAGGGGCGACAGAGATCAGAGATGCACCATTGCAGGGAAGATGAAGCTAGAAATGGAGCCTCATGTTTCATTCCATGCATATGTTGTTTGGGGTTTGTTTTTTAGCTTTTCATTTACCAATTTCATTCATCACACCCCATCGAGAAAAGTAAAAACCCCCACCCAATAAAACCCAAACAAAGAGAGCTTTGTTTTTGTTTCCATGGGAATTCTGAGAGAGGGGGAGGGTGTGAAAGAAAACTGAAATGTTCTGGCCAAACCCAGTAAGGTTTGGATTGTGAGCAGCCCCCCGGGTGTCTTGTAGGAGCTAAAGTCCGGGGGTCTTTAGTTAGTGCAGTGCAGGTGGGGAGGTCTGGGATGGGGCTGCAGCAGCTCCTGTGTGCCGTGGGGAGCATTACTGGGCTGTGGCGCTGCACCAGGAAAAGCAATCTGGGTGGGACCAGATACGACTACAACTCCCAGGAGGCACCAAGGCCAAGCGGGGGTGTCATGTTTAAGTGTATTTCAACAAAACTTCCTTCCTGTGCCTCTTCTTCCGAAGTTAGGAGGACAGTTGTGGTCGTTAAAGCGGAGGGGGGGGGGGGGGGGGGAAGAAGTATTTCACAATATGATTTCTACAAACGTGTATGTGTGTTGCAGTGTTTATTTGAATACTGGTCTTAAGGGACAAAACAAGGAAACACACTTTTTTGTGCGTGCATGTGGTTTAATGCCAATTGACCCACTTTAGGTCATCTCCGGGCTGCTCCACCCTTGGCAGCATCACCAGTGGCTGCCCTAGCATCAGCCCATGGAGTTTTCCTGGGGTGTCTGGTGCACACATCCACGGGGCCCCACTGCCTGCTGTGGGTGTTAGGGTCTTTGGCAGTGAGAAGTAAGCACTATTCTGCCACATCCCTCTGTGTAGCTTATGGGAGTATGTTCAGGCCTTTTCTCATGGCACAGCTCTGAGATGGCTACAGCAAACACACTTCCAGTTCCTAGTCAGGTATACAGAGTACCATAGCCCTGTTGTCTTAGAAAGCTTCAGAGTCATGTAGTACAGGGCAACTGAATGATGACTTGAAAACCTGGCAGAAGAGCAGTAGATCCACCATCACTTGAAGACCCTTTGCCCTGCAGCAGTATGGCTTCAGCAGAGGTTGGGGGCAGGGTGCCGGAGCAGGAGGTACAGTGGTGTCCCATGCTGGGGCTTGGCCTCATGCGGTGCCAAAGCCAGCCGTCATCTCACTGCCATGTGATGGAGCCAGTTCCTTCATCCCTCCCCTGGGGCTCTGCAGGCTCCTTCCCAATGCAGTGATAAACTACTCTGCAGTTTTCCCCCTAGTTCCCCTCTGGTCCCCATGGCTTTGCAGAGGCATGAATGTCATTCACGCTTGGGGCCAGGGAGCATCTGTGCAGCTAAAGGGGAAATACAAGGAGGAAAAAGGTCCTGCATGTTGCCTGCAGGCATGAGAAACAAGAATAAAAGTGCTCAGTTGAAGCAATTAATGGTTTGGTTGGTTGGTTTTGATGTCTTTGACACTTCACCTAACAATAATGTGTTGATTGCTTGAGAACGATGTCAGCTGAAGTGCAGCAGTTCAGCAGCACTGGGCTGGGGGATATAGCCTGTTATTTGTAACACTGTAAATAACACAGTGCTGGAGTTTATACTAGTGTAGCTGTGCTCATCTTACAAGGGAAAAGCAACCTGGTGAGAAAAATCCTATAGGCAAACCCCTGTACTTAGATGTCATCCATGTTCAGTATGTTGGACAGATTCCTGTCATGGCTCTGCTGAAACCGCTGAGGGCCCTCCTGTGCTCCAGCCCATGGGCAAAACTGTGTTTTGCTGTTGAATGAAAGGGAGGAGTGCTTTTCTGGGTGCAAGAAAACGGTTTGAGAGGCTTGGAGAACTTGATGGCTTCCTTGTGCCATCACATGCTGTCTACTGCCCACTCTGAGGCTGCAGTTTGTCATTTCTCTAGTGTCTAGCAGCTGCTGTCCCTCTGCTCCCCTCTTTCCCCCCTGTTTGTGATGCCAAAAGGTGACCAAGATTGGAGATGAGGTCTTTATTAAGAAAAAAACAACCAAACAAAAAAAACCTTTTTCTTTTCCTGGTTTACCTTTCAGCTGGCAGATTAGGTTTGGTGTGCAGCAGTATAGGCTTAGTCCTAAAAAAGCCCTTCTGCAGATGTCTCTTCATGCCTCATGTATCTCACTTTTGGGCAGCTCATTAGGCATGGCAATGAAAAATTCAAAGAGAAGATAAACCATGAATGAAGTGCAACCAAATAATAATGAAAAAAGATTCCTAATATTAACACCTTGGTTTTACAGACTGCAGCAACAGCGATCCCTGTGTGACTGCCATGCAGCGGGCTCTTTGCAGTAGCATCTCTTGTTAAATAAGAAAATCTCACACCCCTGTGGCAGCAGTGTGTCCTCCTAGGGCTGTGCAGAAATTCCTGAAGACTGAAAAGCAGGTGGGAATAGAAAACCAAGGAAACCCCTGACAGACAATATTGTTTCTTCAGAGCTCAAGATATTTCTGAAGGTATGTGCCAAGTATCCACTTTACGAATTGCCCCTGGGACAGGGGAGGTTATGGGAAGGGTAGCAAATCACTACCAGACACAAGCACAGCTGCAGCTCTCCTGGAAGAGGTGATGACTGTGAATGGAGAACCTGCTCTGTCATGGTCCTTGGGAGAGTGGAACTGTGCTACTGTGCTACAAAATGCTCATGGAGAGTGTCTGCTCTCTTCTGCTACTGGTCTAGCCCTGCTCACAGCAGCTGCCAAAATCAACCTAGCAGCAGAGAAATTAAGTATGTATAAACTGAACTAAGGTTTATGGATTTGTAAATATTTGCCAGAATTAGGCCAGCCATAGGTGATGAGCACTGATATGAGCAGTGGGCAGGGGACTGTCTGTGGAGAGAGTTTTTCTTCTCTGCATCTGAGATGTTCCCTCTCTGTGCCAGTGTGTGCTGCGAGGTGTGGAGAGCTAGGAGACAGTGGAGATTCCCTGCAGCCCACTGGCTTCCTGCACGAGGCAGCTGTGGGGTTAGCAGGGGTGAGGCTGGAGAGAACAGCAGAGATGAAGGATGCTTCCTGTGCCATCCCTCCACTGATTCCCATGCCATATGTTGGCATTATCATGAAACCTCTCTGCAGTGTGGGGTGAAGTGTCCTTGAGCATGGCTTTGACTGCTCTTTGGGGTGGAAAGGTGGTGCCATATAGGGTGGCTTTCCATATTTCCCATTGCCCCTATTCTTTACTGCAGAGTTCCACACCTGTTGTTTTGTTCTCTCATGACACAGAGTGTTACAGATATCTGGCTGTCTTTTTCCTTGCTCAGTACAGCCAGCACTGGTGAGCCACCTTGACTCAGCTCTCCACAGATGCCGAGTGCAGCAGTGTTTGAGCTCATCACCATGAGCTGAAGGAAGCCGTGTTGCAATGATGTTGGGAACCACCTTAGATTTCTGAGCTTGATTTTACAAGTGAAGCTCATCACTCACACTGGTTTTAGTAGGCTGTTTGTAAGCCAAGTCATAGTAAACCCAGTGTAAATGATCTGAACTAATGTGCTGTAGGTGTGCCCATACACTAAGCAGGTACTGTTCTGGTAGAGAATGTGGAGATGCTTCAGTATTGCACTGCCAGAATAGAGAGGAGGAGAGTCTCTCTGCATTTGCAGTGACCAGATTTGGGTTATTTATCACATTTGAGGACCATGCTTCTGTTTCTTGCTATTAAAAAAAAAAAAAAAAAGAGAGAAAAAAAATCCTATAGGGAAGAAAAATGTCATAACAGCCATATTGAAATCCTGCTGTAGGGACAGAAGTGGGAGCACTGAATTCACTGGAAAAAGTCACCCAGACATCCCCTGCACAGCTGCAGGTGGAAGCTGTAGTACTGGAGACAGGTTTCAGGCATTTTACCAGCATGCCAGTATGCAAGACTGTGCTAGAGCTGTGTAGTGTACGGAGGAATTTTGCTTCTCCACTTGTCAGTTCAATGCTTCTGTAAGCACAAAAATTTCCTCTCTGTCTCGCTAAAAAATCTGCTTCTTTGCATATTAAAAAGGGAGTATGGGAAGTAACATGAAAAATGTGGCATATGCAGGCAAGCACTGTTCAGATGCAAACAATATGTGACCGTAATTATTAGGTTGTCTTATGCTAAAAATAACGTTGCAAATGCACTTAATTAATCATTAATTTGCACTGACTTTTTCATTTGTTCCCTTCGCTGAATGTGATTCTTGGTGGCGGGCGGGGAAACTGACTTCTCCCTGCTGAAGTCGTTGGGCTTCAGTGAGAAGGGCATAGACAGGGGAGACCGTGCTCCCCGTGAGAGCGGCATTTCCATGAGGAAATCACTTTGAGCCCCTGTCCCTGCAGGGATAGGAAGTTGAAACAAACAAACAAAAACACAACCCACAGACTTTCTTCTCGGCGTTAATGGATTATTTCTTGATTATGATTTTTCATTTCTCTACTAAGAACTGCCGACGGTAAAAAGGGGCAGAACCCATGAAAGCATCCTAACCTCTCCCTCCACCCTTCCTGCCAAGTATCCCAACGCTCTCCTTCTCTGCGGGGTGTGGTTTCCCCGTACTTAGCGGCGCTCATAGGCTGGAGTGCCTGGTGGGCTGGGTCGCGCCTCAGTTCGCCCGTGGGGAGCCCGCCCGGGAACGGGAGCCGGAGCCGAGGGGCCGGAGCTGGGCTGTAGGGAAGCTCCTCCAGCTGCGGGGCCGCCGATTCGTTGGGGACCGCCGCGCTGGGTCTGCAGCAGTCATGGGGCACCCGCTTCCTCGGGGGCAGGAGGTTGGTACAGCGAGGTCCGGAGCTGCCGCTGTTGTTGTGGCGGTTCGGTTCCCGGCGGGCGGGCGGAGGCCGATGATCTCCCCGGGCTGCCCCGGCCCGCGCTGTGTCCGGCCTTGGGGCGGTTCGGGCCACGGAGAGGCGGTTCCTTTACTCCAACGCGCTTAGCAGTTCCGTGCTTGGACTCTTCGCTGCGGCTGGGCGGCAAACTTTGCCGATGGGAGGTGTTCGTCAGCCCTACAGGACATAGTTGGGATGATTTACTGGTTCTTCATGCTTTGAAATGGGAGGGTTTGGATTTGGCGAGGCTGGCGAGGGCCAGGCTGGGGTTGGCGTCGGGGCTCTGCATCGGGGAGTTCCAAGGTGGAAGCTTTACATTTGTTGTGAACCTGGAGATGCGTTTGGTCGGTGTATTCTTAATGCTGGTGAAACTGTGCCTCTGCCTTTTCGCTTTTAGCATCTGCCGTTTCGTGACACTGGAAAAACCTGAGAGTGCTGGCAGCTAGCTGTCATAACCTGTTCTGACGAGCTGCCGGCTCCCTTTCTTGCAATGAAAGCCTTTCCTCCCTGTTGTTATTTTTATTTGGCACAATTCTCTTCTAAGAGGCTGCTCCTTGGAAATCTTCAGCCTCAGGTCTGCCTGGGCAATGATTCAAGCTGGTCCAGCTCCCTTGACTTTGGGAGCGTTTTGCCTGCACGGTCAGGGGTGACCTGGGCTCTTTGTACACAGGACAATACATCTTATGTGTCCGGTTCTACGTGATCTCCAGCGTTCCTCCTTTAAGTAAATCTGCATGATGCCTTTGAAGCCAGTAGAGTTGTGTGGCTTTTGAGCGACAGACACTGATAGTTTAATTGTATGGATGAAGCTCTGCTGGCTTGACGTTTGGTGGAAGACCATAAGTAATGAGATATCGTGGCAAGGCTGGAGCGCCCGTGGCTGCTGGGACAGATGCTCTCTGTTTGCGTATGCTGTTGGGTTTCATAGCTGCCTGTGTTCGCAGCTCGCAGGGTGAGAAATCCATTTCAAGTGCCTTTAATCGCTCAAGAATTCCTGTTTTCCCTCCCATGCCATTTGGCTTTTGATAGCATGAGCTCATGCCAGAGGCTCACAGGTAACCAGAGAACATATTTTCTGACCACCTCTTCACATGATGCTCGCAGGAGTGTTTGTTCTGTGGGTCTTGTGGCCAAATCTTGCCGAGCTTTGCCAGAAGTTGGGAAGCACTTAATTATTAATTATAGCCCTGTGGGCCCTGGGCTACCCTTCCTTTTCAGCTTGCTGCCTGTACTATATTCACTGTGAATATGCAGTAAGTCCCTTCCTTCAGGATGTTGCTGTGGATGCTGAGTGCTGCCTAAGGATGTTGGGATCCCTGATGCCTACTCAGGAGATGGGGTGGGCATCTCACGGGGGTGAGATCGTCTCCTCCATTGTGTAACTGCTCTTCCCTGCACTCAGCTGCAGCTGAAATCAGTATTTTTGTGGTGGGAAAGTGTATCTGGCCTCCCCCAGGGCTGAGGGCCCAGTATGTGGGAGACCTGCAGTGCCTGCATCATCGTGGTGTCCCCATTGACCATCTTCATGCACAGTTTAGCTGGGTAGGAGGGCCAAGCCCTGGCGCTGCACTGCCCTCTCCTCCCCTCCAGCAAGGGGCCAGCCCCAGGCTTTGTCAGAGCTTCCTGGGGGAAAGGGTTGAGGGTAGGGATATCCCTCTGAAAAGACCTATTAAAACTTCCAGGGGTTCCTGTAACCTATGGTTCAGTTGATTAAACAAAAATTTATTGAGAGGTATATCTGCTTAATTTTTTTTTTTTTTCCTGAGATTTAACTTTCCTACTTAGAGAAGATCGTAGGGTCTCACTTCAATACCCATTTGCACCTTTCACTTTGTCCAGACACAGAACATCCTTCTTTTTTAGGGTTATTGAAAGTTAGTATTGAGGCTCTGGTCTTATGGGGAAAAAAAAATTATTAAAGTGGTTTCTCCTGGGGACCATGATGCTCTTTGAGAGGCTTGAACTCCTGCCACAAATGATGCTGCTGCTGGCAAGTATCTCCTGAGCTCTCGCAGCTGAGGAAGAGTTTGCTGGGATCAGAACTGCAGCTTGCTTAAACTGCTGAAGATGGCGTTTTACATATATGTAAATGAAGTTATAAGCACTGGGTAGGTAATCTTCTCTGGTGAAATCATTCTTCCTTGAAGCGGGCTGAAATCCCATGCCTCACCTAGAAATTTTTACTACTATTCTTAATAGTAGCAAAGCGTAAAGGCTTGTGCCAACTTGGCATTGTTATCCCTGTAATTTATGAACTGTTCTTTAGACTGCAGGTGTGTCTGTGGTAAAGGAAAGATCTCGTGTTTTACAGGGGGTCTGCTCTCCAGCAGTGGCTTGAGAAATCTCCTCCTTGATAAGCCATGTGCTCAAGTGCAGTTGCACCTCCTCTATCTGGTAGTTATGAACTTAACTTGGGGTTTTACAGTAATTCCTTCTCTGCTAATTGATTTAAAGCAAGTTAGCAAATCTTCAGGGAAAGAAACGTCAGGGGAATGCACTTAACTGCTGGTGTTGCCACAGTTTTTAATCCCTTGAAATGAAATCATACAGAAGATATCAGTTATTAATGTACATACAGACTTCTAGGTTTATCTTCTGTATCTCTACCTAAAGAACACACAAAAGGAGAGACAGTCTCTTGAATGACTGAAGCCCGGCATACT